TCGAAACTAACCCGAACGCTTGAGCTTCATAATTTGGTTAGAATTGATGTCCGATGATTTGATTAAATGCCTTTTGCCAAACAACACTTTTTTTTTCGATTGTCATTATACCAAATGGGTCATTTGAACGAATGCAATTTGGTCGAACAATACTACATTCCTGAATATAGTTTTGGTGAAATGTTGATATTCCAGATTCCAAGTAGTAGAATTTTTGCAGAAATCTACAGGGCTATTCAAGATCCTTTATTATTCCAAGTTTGAAATTTTGCAAGACATTTGAGCTTGTAAAATTATCATAATGATGGACAGTGTATAATTTCGAAACTTACATATGGAAGTTTGCTGAACATTCCACCAGTCCCAGAACTTGGTGCTTGAAATTTAAAGAACTTGCTTTTGAAACACTGCAGAACTTGCACTCGGGGGAACGGACCCGGCGTAGTGGTTACCATCCATGCCCCTAATGCTAAAGGTCACGAGTTCAAACCTCATCCCCGGACAAGTAACGAATGACCTCAAATGTGTTTAAGTGACTATGATACAACAAAATAAAACAAAACTTGCATTCGGAAGAATCCAGAAACTAATTTGCTGTTTTCAAATCGATTTGGAAAATCTCACCACATACCTTTGAAAGTTTTTTGTGGATTACTCTTTGTCTTTTTGGGATAGTACAATAATCGACCACTATAAATAAGTTTAAAAGATGCATTAACTTGCCATCAAAATTTGCTTTCAAGTGTTCCGGAAGCCCCCCTGAACCTTCCTATGCAAATCCAGAGTTTTTCACAGAAGTTGATATAACTAGTAGGATTACTGAAAATTTTGTACAGCTTTCGGAGGTTCCTATAACGTGACTAGAAGATTCCAGAGCTTTTCTTGGAAGTTCCCTGAACTTTTTGGAAGTTTCCTAAATTTTATGGAAGTACCATGAACTTTTTGGAACTTCTGAACTTGTCGGAAGTTCCCTGACCTATATGGAAATAAGTTAAATTTTTTGGAAGTTCCCTGAACTTTATGAAAGTTACCTGAGCTTTATAGAAGTTCCCTGAAATTTTTAGAAGTTTCCTGAACTTTTCGGAAGTTCCTTGAACTTTTTGGAAATTTTCTGAACTTTTTGGAAGTTCCCTGAACTTTTTGAAAGTACCCTAAATGTTATGGAAATTTCCTGAACTTTATGGAAGCTACCTGAATTTTTTGGAAGTTCCCTGAACTTAATTGAAGTTCCCTGAACTTTTTGGATGTATCCTGAACTTTATGGAAATTTCCTGAACTTTTTGGAAGTATCCTGAACTTTTTAGAATTTCCCTGAACTTTTTGAAGGTTCTCCGAACTTTTTGGAAGCTCCCTGAACCTTTTGGAAGTAACCTGAACTTTTGGAAGTTCCCTGAACTTTTGGAAGTTCCCTGAACTTTTTTGAAGTTCCCTGAACTTTTTGGAGGTTCCCTGAACTTTTAGGAAGCTCCCTGATTTTTTTGGAAATTTCCTGCACTTTTTGGAAGTTTCTTGAACTCTTTGTAAGTTTCCTTAACTTTTTGTAAGTTTCCTGCACTTTATGGAAATTTGCTGAACTTTTTGGAAATTCCCTGAACTTATGGAAGTTCCCTGGACTTTTTGAAAATTCTCTGAACTTTTTGGAAGTTCCCTGAACTTTTTGGAAATTCCCTGAACTTTTTGGAAGTTCCCTGAACTTTTTGGAAGCACCCTGAATGTTATGGAAATTTCCTGAACTTTATGGAAGTTACCTGAACTTTTTGGAAGTTCCCTGAACTTTTTGAAGGTTCCCTGAACTATTTGGAAGAACCCTGAACCTTTTCAAAGTACCCTGAAGTTTTTGGAAGTTCCCTGAACTTTTTTGAAGTTCCCTGAACTTTTAGGAAGCTCCCCGATGGAAATTCCCTGCACTTTTTGGAAATTCCTTGAACTCTTTGTAAGTTTTCTTAACTTTTTGTAAGTTTCCTGAACTTTATGGAAGTTTTAGTTGTTAGTTGTGGAATTTCTCTGAACTTTTTGGAAGTTATCTGAACTTTTTGGAAGTTCCCTGAACTTTTTTAAAATTCCCTGAACTCTTTGAAAGTTCCATGAACTCGTTGTTAGTTTTCTTAATTTTTTGTAAGTTTCCTGTACTTTTTGGAAGTTCTTTGAACTTTTTGGAAGTTCCCTGAAGTTTTTGTAAGTTCCTAGATTCTTGGAAGTTACCTGAACTTTTTGAAAGTTCCTAGAACTTTTTGGAAAATCCCTGAAGTTTTTGGAAGTTCCCTGAAGTTTTTGTAAGTTTTCTGAACTTTTTGGAAGTTCTTTGAACTTTTAGGAAGTACACTGGAGTTTTTGGAAGTTGCCTGAACTTTATGGAAGTTCTCTAAGCGTTTTGGAATTTCCCTGAACTTTTTGCAAGTTCCCTGAACTTTTTGGAAGATCGCTGAACTTTTTGAAAGTTGCCTAAACTTTATGGAAATTGTCTGAAGTTTATGGAAGTTCCCTTATCTTTTTGCAAGTTCTCCGAACTTTTTGGAAGTTCAGCAAGCTTTTTAAAAGTTCTCAGAACTGTTTGGAAGTTCCCTGAAGTCTTTGGAAGTTCCCTGAAGTCTTTGGAAGTTCTCTGAACTTTTTGGAAGATCTTTGAACATTTTGGAAGACCCTTGAGCTTTATGGAAGTTCCCTGAACTTTTTGGAAGTTCCCTGAATTTTTTGGAAGTTCCCTGAAATTAATGGAAGTCCCCTGAACTTTTTGAAAGTACCCTGAATTTTATGGAAATTTCCTGAACTTTATGGAAGTTACCTGAACTTTTTGGAAGTTCCCTGAACTCTTTGTAAGTTTCCTTAACTTTTGGTAAGTTTCCTGAACTTTATGGAAGTTTGCTGAGCTTTTTGGAAATTCCCTGAACTTTATGGAAGTTCCCTTAACTTTTTGTAAGTTCCCTGAACATTATGGAACTTCCCTGAACTTTTTGAAACCCTGAACTCTTTGGAAGTTCCCTTAACACGTTGTAAGTTTTCTTAACTTTTTGTACGTTTCCTGAACTTTTTGAAAGTTCTTTGAACTTTTTGAAAGTTCCTAGAACTTTTTGGAAGTTTCCTGAAGTTTTTGGAAGTTCCTTGAACTTAATTGAAGTTCCCTGAACTTTTTGGAAGTATTCTGAACTTTATGGAAATTCCCTGAAATTTTTTGAAGTTCCCTGAACATTTTGGAGGTTCCCTGAACTTTTAGGAAGCTCCCTGATTTTTTTTTAAATTCCCTGCACTTTTTGGAAGTTTTTCAAACTCTTTGTAAATTTCCTTAACTTTTTGAAAGTTTCCTAAACTTTATGGAAGTTTTCTGAACTTTTTGGACGTTCTTTGAACTTTTTGGAAGTTCACTGAAGTTTTTGAAAGTTCCTAGAACTTTTTGGAAGTTCACTGAAGTTTTTGAAAGTTCCTAGAACTTTTTGAAGGTTCTCTGAACTTTTTGGAAGCTCCCTGAACCTTTTGGAAGTAACCTGAACTTTTGGAAGTTCCCTGAACTTTTTTGAAGTTCCCTGAACTTTTTAGAGGTTTCCTGAGCTTTTAGGAAGCTCCCTGATTTTTTTGGAAATTTCCTGCACTTTTTGGAAGTTTCTTGAACACTTTGTAAGTTTTCGTAACTTTTTGTAAGTTTCCTGAACTTTATGGAAGTTTGCTGAACTTTTTGGAAATTCCATGAACTTTTTGGAAGTTACCTGAACTTTTTGGAAGCACCCTGAATGTTATGGAAATTTCCTGAACTTTATGGAAGTTACCTGAACTTTTTAGAAGTTCCCTTAACTTAATTGAAGTTCCCTGAACTTTTTGGAAGTATCCTGAACTTTATGGAAATTTCATGAACTTTATGGAAGTTACCTGAACTTTTTGGAAATTCCCTGAACTTTTTGAAGGTTCGCTGAACTTTTTGGAAGATCCCTGGACCTTTTGGAAGTAACCTGACTTTTTTGGAAATTCCCTGCACTTTTTGGAAGTTTTTTGAACTTTTTGTAAGTTTCCTTAACTTTTTGTAAGTTTCCTGAACTTTATGGAAGTTTGCTGAACTTTTTGGAAATTCCCTGAACTTTATAGAAATTCCCTGAACTTTATGGAAGTTCCCTGAGCTTTTTGAAAGTTCTCTGAACTTTTTGGAAGTTCTCTGAACTTTTTGAAAGTTCCCTGAACTCTTTGGAAGTTCCCTGAACTCGTTGTAAGTTTTCTTAACTTTTTGTAAGTTTCTTGAACTATTTGGAAGTTCTTTGAACTTTTTGGAAGTTCACTGAACTTTTTGAAAGTTCCTAGAACTTTTGGGAAGTTCCCTGAAGTTTTTGGAAGTTCCCTGAAGTTTTTGTAAGTTCCCTTAACTTTTTGGAAGTTCCCTGAAATTTTTGGAAGTTGCCTGACTATTATGGAAGTTCCCTAAACTTTTTGCAAGTTCCCTGAACTTTTTGCAAGTTCCCTGAAAAATTTGGAAGTTCGCTGAACTTTTTGGAAGTTCAGCAAGCTTTTTAAAAGTTCCCAGAACTGTTTGGAAGTTCCCTGAACTTTTTGGAAGTTCCCTGAACTTTTTGGAGTTTCCCTGAACTTTTTGGAAATTATTTGAATTTTTTGGAAGTTCCCTGAACTCTTGGGAAGTTCCATGAACTTTTGAGAAGTTCACTGAACATTTTGTTTAAAGATTCCTTGTGCTTCTTCGAAGTTATCTAAACTCTTTTCAAATTCCCTGAACTTTATTTGCAATTCGCGGAGATTCTTTTGAAGATGCCCGACCCTCCTAATGTATGCATCAAATTTCCGATTATTTTAGATAAAAGATGATTTCCTAATGCAAAGCAAAAATCAGCGATGCTGCTGTTTTCCGACACCTAATAAAGGGCAACTTTCTTTTCAGTTCCAACGGTTCAAAACATGGTCAGTTAAAAATCTATAAACTTCCATCTTTATTCTGGGAGAAGCGAAAGCATAGACCAGCTTTCAGATACAGGTTTAGACCAAACAGAAGCGGGAAAAAAACAAAACTTAAACTGTTACACAGATTATAAAAGTTAATTCTACCCTTTGGATTCGAGTGACTATAAAAAGGTGTAAATGGGTGATGTTTACTCGCCCGAGATGGCAGCATATGCCTCCGGTCGTCGTTGTCGTCGTCGCCGTCAGCAGCCAGAACCTCTCTTACGTGCCTTCAATCAGCTTCGAATGGACGTCGTACAGACTCTGCGGTGAGAGAAAAGAAGGACCGTTCCAGGTCCGGTTGAATAGACGTTAATTAATCATACTATGCCGATGTCAACGTTTCATCTTGTTGATTCGCTTCGAAGCAGCAGCCGCAGCAGCACACCCGTACTTTATCCTGAAAATTACTCACACTTCCCTCCTTCCTGTTTCTTCTTCTGATGTGGTGGTGGCGTTGACGATGGTAATGATGTGGCAAAGGTCAAGTCCGTCTTATTTGGTAGGTTAGTGAGTGGGAGGATGGACGGCTACACAAGGTCACTGCCATCACATACACACACACAAGGATCAGTTGGGCCGAGTAGCATCATCAACGTCTCCACTGGCAGAGGCGAGAACGTAGCAATCCTAGCAGCAGGACCAAGTTGAATGAGAGACATGGGTTTCCATGTTTTAATTTGGGAAAAAGGGATTTGAGAGAAAATAGAATGGAACAGTTGTATTTTCTGAAAGTAGAAATTGCGCCAGATCGTGTAGCAGTTGGATGTGACCTCTTGCAGACATTTTTTTCGAATCACATCCAACCGACACAGGGTTCAGCATGGAACGACCAAAACCATAAAAGTGTAGAAACGCCCAAGGGTAGGTCAGAACCACCAGTGTTAGGAACATACATACAATCGTAAATTTAGTAACAATAATCGTATCCGGTTGACCTTTACCCTTTGCCATGTATAGTCTTCCGTACCTACCAGATAGAAACAGGAAGCAAGTGCAATACTCGAGTAGCACGATGGATGTTGTGAACAAGTGTGCTGTGCGGTGCTGTGCTGGTGGTTAGGCGAAATTGAATTTGAAAGATGTTCAAAATGTCCTCTCTGGTGGCAGTGCAACATTATTACTGGGACAATTTTCAACACCTTGAGGGGTGTTGCTGCCTCGTACGAGTTAGAGATGTGCTCTCTTGGCAGGCTAGCGATAGTAACATTGTAATATTCAGCACCTAGTCGTATTTACCGTTTGATGTTTGGGCGTCTGAAATTCGAACCAGGTTGGGTATTAGGCGGTGATGGCGGTGGCGGTTTTCCAGGAGATACGAACGATTGTACGTACACCCCACAATAAACCGCATACGTAGTTTGTTTCAAAACGAGTCACATCAAATCAAAGGGTACGGCGAAGGGCTTAGCAACTAGCGAAATAGGATGTAGGTTAGAGGAGCTTTCAAGTAGTTCGTTGGTCCAAAACGCTTCGCCCTCACTTCAGCTTCCTCACGTCTGCGGAGTCCTCTTCGATCAGTTTGTGGTGGACGTTACTCAAAGCCTGAGCATATTTGGATGTTGTGTTTGGATGATTGTGGTGAGCGTGTGTGCATAAATTGAAAAAAACGGAAACCATTAGCACCTGGCGTTGATTGTGATGATTTTTGGACCCATCACCTTCATTGAAGTTTTAGCAGCATGTGAGATAGAGTAGAAGCTAAATAGCATTATGAAACTCTTGCCGTTTAATCGAACAAGAAGCAGCAATCTAACGAAAATATATGTTATTTAAATAATATTTATTAAGTAAAAGCAAAGGGAAGCCCGTTCAAATTAACGCTTATCATTATTTTAAGGAACCAACCCAATCAACCGATTCAAAATGTCGGTAAAAGTTAAATTAAGTAAAACACTTAACTTTAAAAAAAAAATGGTTAGGCCGTCAACGCACATTCCACAGTGTAAACAGGCCTGTCATGATGGTTATTCTATGAGTCTTCAAGCAAAGGGTGTTCTGCTAATTGATCAAGAATAACTAGTTTACCTATGGACAAGATATTCTCGTCAACGTCACTCCTATAGGAACAGACGGCACTTCTTTTCCTATTATCGTCTAGGGAGTATATGAAACCCTTGAGTGCTGATCTTTTGCATTAAGGTGCATCATGTTTCAGAACACCGTTTTTATAAAAAAAAAAGAGTTAAGGGTTGTGTCCAAAGCACGAACGCATTGTTGACGTAGAACTACGAGATTACTTTTGCTGCTCCATTTACTAATATATTAATAACAATATACATGGTTTAGAAACTTAACTTCAAAATGAACAACTCATGATTCAAATTTTTGAAATTGGGTGGTTATTGAGAAAATCCTAAAATTAAGATACAATTTTTCAAATTAGAAAATCAGTTCCTTTATTATTCATGAGTAAGTTCCAGACATGTTCACCCAACTTTCGGAAACATACTAATGTAAGTCATGGCGAAACAACATTATAAATCAAAGTGCACCTGACATAACACATTTTAATGTTGCAGAACTATGACAGACAAGTGGCTTTCAACTAAAACTTATTTAAATTAAGTTAAATTCAGTTAACCTTTACCTGTCCTCAATTAGAAATCTATAAAATAGCAAACGTTTTAATTGAATAGCTGGAATGTAAATTTGATTGTTTCATTGTAGCATTAACTCCCAATAGAATAGATTAATCCCCATATATACAACATATAGTTTTAGTTATAGTTAAAATTTTCATAACTTTCATTATTATTTGTCCTCTGTCCCTTCGAGAAAGATTGCATATATCGTGAAATATTCACCCATATTCTTGATTTTGTTCGAACCGGTCGAACCATACTATAAAAAAATTGTTGTATAGTTCAAAAGCTTCGAACGAAGGCAAGAATATGGGTGCTTGACAAAACAAATTATGTGTGCTTTGTGTAGTCACCATTTGGGATCTCCCTTAGCTCAGTCGGTAAAGGCACAGCTACAAAGCAAGACCATGCCGGAGGTGGCTGGGTTCGATTCCCGGTTCGGCTTAGGAATTTTTCGGGTTGGAAAATTTCTCGACTTCCCTGGGCATAGAGTATGATTGTACTTGCCACACAATTATACTGATGCAGAAATGGTACAGGCATCGAAAGCTCTCAATTAACAACTGTGGAAGTGCATCTAGAAGACTAAGTTGGCAGCACGTTATAAGCTAATATGCGATATGCAAGAAGCTTGAAATTCGAAGAAGAAGAAGAAGAAGTAGTCACCATTTTTCAAGTAACGTCAAATAAAATTAAAATTAAACACAGACGCACAGTTCCAGTTGGAACGTAACAATAAAATTTGGAATTTGTTGTATTCATCTGAACAATTCTTCCAAAGACAGCAAGTAGCACACCAGTCAAATTAAAGCAAGCAATCAGAAATCAAATGGTACATAATATGAACTGTCCAGTATTCAATAGGTCTTATCCATCTCAATAACTTTACTAAAAACAGCAACCTCATATGTAGTCGAAACACTGAAAACGAAACTAACTCAGAGAGTGAGTCTCTTTTACTCATTCGTAAAGACAAATTGTGTTGAATGTGTGAGTAGAATTCCAAGGGAAGGAGTGAGATTCAAAAAGAAATCTGTAATGAATTCAATGAATAGTCGGAGAATCTTTCCAAAGAATTTCTAATTGTGGAGAATTTCAAAGTAATTCCGAGGAAAACTAAAAGAAAATTTAATTCTGAATATAGCTTCATTGAGATTTTGAGATAACCTCCGTCAAATATGGAATGAACTATTTTGAAGTCTTCAGAAACACTTGAACACTTTTTCCTAAAGTTAATGAAACTGCCTTGAAGTTCTTTTGTAGTTTGATGAACTTCTCTAATTCTGAACTTTATAAGTCTTCCTAAAGTTTCCTCAATTGTTCTAACGATCATGGATCTTCTTTAAAGGTTCAACAATTCACTGAAGTTCTCTTAAATTCTTTAAAACTTATATGACTTCTCTAACTGCTCTGAGGTCCTCGGTTCTTTTCTGAAATTCTCAAAACTTCTCTAAAGTTTTGCAGTTCTTATGAAGCTTGTTGTACTGCGCTGAATTTAATTAAATCGTCCTAAAAATACTTCAGTAAACTTCTGAACCTATGCGAAGACCTCAAATAATTTTTTAACGTCTCTGAAGTTATCTGAAAATCTGGGAACTGCTGTAAATACCCCACTAATTTTCTTAAACTAATGGAACTGACTTCCCCTTGAAATTCCTCAAATTTTCGGAGCTTATTAAACTTTTTTCAAATGCTTCCGCATTTTGCTAATGTTCATAAAATTTCCTGAAGCTTGCGGATCTTATCTCAAGCTCCATAGATTTCTACGAAGTAATGTTTCTGAAGACCACTGTCCTTCTGTGAAGTTTCCGAAGTTTTCTAAATTTCTAAATTTCTGGAATTTAATGGGATTATTCTGAAGCTATCTGATCGTCCTCGAAGTCTCGGAACTTCGCTGAATATCATTAAACTATCTAAAAATATCTAAATTTAGTTCACTGGAATTTCTTGAAGATATCGTTGCTTGCTAAAAGTTCTCGCTTTTTTTTATTAATGGAACTTCGATGATGTTCTTTAATCAATTTAGCTAAATTATCACGTTTTCCGGATGTCCATATAATTTTGATTGCGTTCCAGATATTCTCTGGGAGCTTTACATAAGTTTCCGGAAATTCTTTGAGTTTCTCGAAACTTCTTTAAGGTTTCTACAATTTATTTGAACAGCCCTTTGATTATCTGATCTGTCTAGATGTTCTTGAAGCTCACCTAAAGCTCTCAATTCTATTGAAGATCTCTGTTCTGCTTGGAAATAAATGGAATTCCCGTAAACACCTTTAAATTTCCCTGAAATTCTCTGGACTTCTGTGAAGTTTCTGAAATATTTCTGAGGTTTTCATAAATTCTCTGAAGGTCTCTGTACTTCCCTGAAATCCGCGGAACATATTAAGGGTTCTCGATTTGTTTTCAGCACATCGGGGAACTATCTTGAATTTATCTAAATTTACTATTATAGATTTTAAACTGCTCCAGAAGTCTTGACTATAATTACGGGAACTACTCTTAAGCTCTGAAATTCCCCAAAGATTTCTAGATCCAGCTTTTCTGAGGTGCTTAGAACTTCTTAAAAATGTGCACAATACCCCTCAAGTTTTTTTTTTTTTTATTTCTCAAGTTCGTTTGATACCTGTGAAGTTCTCTTAAATTCTACGAACTTCATAAAAGTTCCTGAAAAGTCTCGGA